TATATATATATATATATATATATATATATATATATATATATATATATATATATATATATATATATACATTAACGGGATTTTACTGTATATATATATATATATATATATATATATATATATATATATATATATATATACATATATATATATATATATAAATATATACTTACATATACAGTAAAATCCCGTTAAGTTGGACTTTTAATGAATAGATAAACAGTATGCCTTTCTTTTTAAAAAGTATAAAGAGGATGTGTGATAAACAATTAAATACTTTATTATAAAGAACGAGAGATCTCTCTAAAGGTAAATGATATCAGAAAGAGTAAAAAGAGAAGAAATATATGTGAAACAGCGGGATGTGAACCTGGGTCTACGCGGCCAAATGTCTTAACTGAATGAGCTATACGTTCATTCAACTAAGAGAATAGTAATATTCATTTAATATATAATTTGAAACTATATAAAACAGAATTTACAGAAAGAGATACGTATGCAAATAGGATTCTATATATCAGGAAAATGAATAGTAATGTGAACCTTTAGATGCTTATAATTAGCATCTGGACTCAAAAACTAGTTACTTTTAATGGAACACAATAGGCTGTAGGAGCCTCAGGGAAATTATATTCAGAAATGGTTATATTAGACTCAGAGTTAGCTAGAAATTATTACAAAGTATTTAGGACAGATGTCTAGTACAAAAAGCAAAAGATTTAAAGCAAAATGAATTATATTATTTGAAAAAATTGTTTTACGTACATTTCATCATAATTTAAGTAGAACTTAGTAAAGCAAGGGAAACGTGTTGAATTAAGCACAATGAAATCAATCTTAAAAGAATAACTAACAGAAGAGAGGTTGTCACTATTGTGAAGGCGACGAAAGATCTGTAATATAGAACATGGAGGTCAAAAAATGCTATCTTAAGTAAAAAGAGTTTGATGAACAAAAGTTACAATGGCTGCGGGATGCGAACCCGGATCTCTGCGGCGAATTATCACGTATCTAACTGATTGAACTATACAATCTTAAACTCAAATTTATATCTTATTAAAATTAAAAAACAATATTTTCTATGATCTATACTTCGAAAAGCGTATTCAAACAGGACTTTACATACCTTTAAAATCTGCTAGAATTTTAGTAACGTGCACACTTTTAGAAATTATTGAAATAGGTATATTTTATCAGAAATTTGCTTAAGCTAAAGCATATTTTTGAGCCTCTTTTTACTATTTGCTTAAGCATATTCGAACCTGTTTCAAAAATTTCATATGCTTTAAAAAAAAAAACATGTATATTCCTACCCATCATTCTTATTTTTAATATACGTAATGAGTTTAAAAAACATCGTTGTATATATTTATTATAGCACGTTTCGTAAGTTTATTTCCGTTAAGAATTCTTTCGTATGTTGTGATCCGAAATACTTTCGTTTCGAAAGAAATTTTATTTTTTTATCAATATTTCTAAAAATAAACCGTAAAAATTTAATAAGTTATGTTACTGAAAATAAAAATTCATTATAAACATTTTGGGATTTAAAGATGTTAATTTTTACAATTAAAATCAGTCTGGCAAACAAATTTTCTTTATAGACTTCAAAACGTCGTTTGGCGAAAGTATTTGTTTCGCAAGTGCGACTTCCGAAACCGCTACTTTCGTATGTTGCAAAATAGTTTTGTTTCGTATGTCAACTTGCGAAATGCTAAATTTCGGAAGTAGCTTTTGCGAAATGAACATCGGCGATTTTAAATGTTTTGTAACATTCGGTACGAAAAAATGTAATTCCGTGTTCTCAATCTCCTTACGAAAGAATGTTGCTTTTCCGGAATTGCACGAAATCCTCCGGTTAACAACCCTACTATAAACATAAAAAAAAATTAAATTTTCATGGATTACAAAGGGTATTAAAAATTTTCTCAAGTTAAATTATAATAATCTTACAACTATGATAAGAGTTACTATCCAAGAGTATGTAAGTTATTTGAAAAAGTTGAATATACATATATATATATATATATATATATATATATATATATATATATATTATATATATATATATATATATATATATATATATATATATATATATATATATAATACCGCGCTGGTTCACTTGAAAAATACATATCAATAAATAAAAATATATATCGGTTTATAAAAATACACATCAATTAATAAAAATACAAATTAAAATATATATATATTTTTTAACATCTTCGCTTCCAACAAGGCTGCAAGGAAAGACTATTAGAGTTGGAAGTTACTGGAACAAAAAAAATGTAGAGCAGTATAACGATTGACAGAAGACTTAAAAGATTGCAAAATATATGAATCAGGAAAGCAAGATGAAGGAAGCGAATTCCGAAAAATGGTTCGAGGAAAAACGAATTGAAAAACGAAAAACGAAAAAAAAAAAAAAAGTAGACAAATAAGAGTTTTTGGACCTCAAAGGAGCGAACACATCATATATATTGATATATATTGATATATATTGATACATATTGATACATATTGATATATATATATATATATATATATATATATATATATATATATATATATATATATATATATATATATATATATATATATATCGAAAAGAAAAAATACATATTAGTTAATAAAAAAAACATACCATCTAAAAATTAATGAAAAAATTATCAGCAACATCAAAACAACCTTGGCCAAAGATTATTTCAAAAAAAATGATTGTCTTTTTCTTAATAAGAAATTTAATAAGTGATTTAATCAGTAAGACTAAACCTAGGTTGAAACGTAGTATTCCTTAAATATTCCTTGAAAATTAACCTTAAAGGAAATATATTCCCCTTCAACCTAGTACCTAAAAGTTTTTGATTTATCTTTTAAAGAATTTAGAAGTGCTTTAAAAGTGTAAAATAAAACAGTTGCTTCTGACCCAGTGGGCTCGGGACGTATATTTAACGTTTAAAAAACGTATTGTGCCTACTGAAGATATATATATATATATATATATATATATATATATATATATATATATATATATATATATATATATATATATATATATATATATATATTAAATTCTAAATAATAGTAACATCCAAATATATATAAAGACATAAATCAGAATTAAAGCAGAAAATAACGAAGAAATTAACGAAATTCAAAATACCAAATAATTAAGAAGTCTTAAAATGCTTACAACCGCTAATATGTATAAGATCACTTAAACAAAAATTTTCAAATAAAAAAATAATGTAAAATTTCATAATTAACATAATTACTAGATTAATTTTGAACATCAACGAAGATTTCATTGGTATAAATAAATCTGTTTTTTAAGCTTACATTAAAAGAAACAATTTAAGTCGGAAAAATTAAATTTCCTAAACAGTAATAATCTTTTTGATTCATTCTTGAATTGCTCTAAGGTAGTCTTGTTTCTGTTGACAATATCTGGGAGTTTTTTCTACAGATAAGGTCCACGGTATTTAATTGAATAGGAGGTTAATTTTAGATTATATTTGAGTAGAACAAAGTTGTTATCTGAAAACTTAGTTAAATACTTATGATTGATTTTGTTAAAATAGATTTGAAAGATTTTTGGGAACAATCCCATTTTTTTTTAAACATAAACAATAAAACTTGTAAATTGAGTTTATACACATTTAAAGCACGGAGTGCACGTAATATGTTATAGGGGACAATGCCCCATATTGTCAACATAATGCTATATAGACAATAATGTCTACAAAAAAAAAATTATAAACATTATTGTATCTTGCTTTGCTTTACAACATTACCTTTCTACAAAATGATCTTTGGGTACATGATAAAATGTAAAATTATAATGAGGAAAATGGTTTCTAAGTATCTAGGAGAGATTTTGAAGTAGAAATTGTGACTCGATCCTTTTTATAAATATTTAACTTATCGAAGAATAAAAACATAGATAATCGAAAAATAATAATAAAGAATATCTTTTTTAGAGATGAAGTAAATTTAAAACTCAATCAATAAAAAACATTTAAAAACACAGAAATGCTCTAAAAAATAATTCTTAAAATTGGGTTTATTAAAATCGGTATATTAATATGTAACACTAGTGTTACATATCTTTTGATATCATTTTTTGAAAAATTTACAAAAAAATATTGACAGTGCACTGTCAATATTTTTTTGTAAATTTTTCAAAAAATGATATCAATAGACCTTGCTTCAAATATGAACTTCAGTGACTCATTTGGTATATAATAATATTGATATTATAAAATGCTTTATGTTGAGAGCACGAAAGAAAGTTAAGTTTGTTTTGTATCAATAGTTGTATCCTAAAAATGTAATTATAATTTTTAAGTTTTTTGAAACTTAAATAATTTAAATTCTAGAATTGCATTATTCCCATAAAACTTTTACACAAGTGTGTAGGAACTTCGTATTGCCTACGTTTCATAGACGCTGCATCATTGCACTTTACAAAAACCAAATTAATGGATGCTTTTACATTAGCTTTGACACAAATTTTTTACATAATTTTCTATAAATAAGCGATAGTCAAGAGTTTAATGCTTTTTGACTCCTCTTTTACAATTATCTACAGATATAGTCCCATTAATAAAATAATCCTTAATAAAATTATGAGTTTAATTGGGCAAAAATGAAATGCCTCTTGTCCAAGTTGAAATACTGTTGCTTATAGATTCTTCTTCATCTACAGCAATAAATTCATCATGGGTAATCACGAAAAACAGCTTTAGATGCCGAATTTAAGAGCTTTAAGAAGTACTAGCATTTATTTTATAAATTAGCAGATTAAAAGAACTCATAACTATAATATTATCTATGTCAAAAAAAAAGCGCGGATTGCTTAGATTTAAATGAATACAACTACGACTTAACGGATAGCTTTAACGGTATTTCGAATGTTCATTAGTAATTTTTATAAACCTTGACACGATTTCAGTGAGGCACGCAGAATCATAGGGTAACTAAATACATAAGGCAATCTATAAATTAGATTATAAATGACTAAGCATTATTATACCATTTTTAAATCTTAATAAAAAAAAATACAAGCAAAAAAGTACAAACTGATAAACAAAAACTTAAGAATATATAAAATTAATTTTCAAATATAATACAATCTTCGATTTACAAGTTAAATTTTAAATACATGAACAATACCTTCTAAACTAGCACACGTAACTATTTGAGTAGATTTTTTAAAAAAAAGGTAGTCCTTAACCAAACTAATAGAATTCTATAATGTACGCAAAAAAAAGCAAAATCACACAAAGCGCATAGAATTGAATAATACAAAATAGTATACTTTTATACTAATTGTAGGTTTACCTTAAAAGAAGAATCTAATTAAAAGCACAAATGTTTATCAATTCTAAGCAGAAAATGTCGATTACATTCTGTTTGTATAAAAAAATATGTCTAATCAAAACGTATCAGCTGTTACAGAAAAGGATTTGTTGATTTCGATGCAGGTTGAGTCTAAAAAAAAAAATTAAGAACTAATGTCATCTTTTTCTGTTACAATCAAGAGTAAGAAAAAAAAAACAAACTCAAACTATAGTAATAAGAAATAATAGCGATATTAATATAGGAAGTATGAAAAAAAAACTTTCTCTAATAGCAAACAAAATAACTTGGATACCTAAAATAATATTAATACCTGCGTCCAAAACTGCTGCTGTTGGGGAACATTGCTGAACGATGAAAAATTTGATTGGTTGCTTGGAGCCTGGTTTTGATAATTAATTATCGGAGACGGATTGAGAGTTTGTTGTTTCTGTAATAGTTGATTGTCGGGTATATGGCTTTGCAGAATATTCATATTGCTTTGTAATCCTTTTGGTGCGTTAACTCCTTGATGAAACGCTTGGTTATTAGAAACTCCTGGAAATAAAGTTTGTTGATGAGATTGGTGTAATGTATTTGTATATTGGTTAGCGATATTTTGATTATTATTCCAAGTATTCAACTGATTAGATTGTCCGAATGCATCATTAATTTGTATATTGCCACTTGCAGCAAAATTGTTTGATGAAAAGTCATTAGATTGAGGTGACCCAAATACATTTCGTTGTGAAATAACATTCAAGTCAGTTTGTTGAGATTTGTAACTATTTTGATAAACTGCTGGTTGATTTCCGAAAGCTGCAGGTTGGCTTCCGAAAGCTGCAGGTTGGCTTCCGAAAGCTGCAGGTTGGCTTCCGAAAGCTGCAGTTTGGCTTCCGAAAGATGTAGGTTGGTTTCCAAAAGCAACAGATTGATTCCCATACGCTGCAGATTGGTTTCCATACCCAACAGATTGATTTCCATACCCTGCAGACTGGTTTCCGAAATTAGAAAGTTGATTACCAAAATTAGTAGGTTGATTTCCAAAACCTGAAGGCTGATTTAGGAAACCACTTGAATTTTGTTGATTCAAAAATTGATTTTGTTGAAGTGTTTGAATGTTAGGTTGAAATCCTTGGTGTGCACTTTCTTGAATTTGTTTTGCAGAAAATTGTACTGAAGAATTTTGGTTCGATATCTGAGTTTGTGTTGAAAATGAATTGCTATAAAAAGGATTTGGTTTTGCTTGCTGCTGCTGATGTTCGTTACTTAATCTGGAAGCATTTCCTGATGACAAAAATGGATTAGGTTGAGAACCCAAGCCTTTATTGTCGGAAGATATACTACTGAATACTGACCCATTGAACCCAGCATGTGAATCACTTGCTTTAAAGAGATCTGTGTTTGAAAATGCTGCGTATTTATCCGAGACTGGAACTAACAAAAATTAAATAATTTACATTCTTAAAGTATTGCAAAAATAACTTTAAATTTTTATTCAAGTATTGAAAACATTAGTTCTAATATTTTGTTGCGAAAAAAAAAACAAACAAGGAAAATTAAAAAAAAAAACGATTTCCAAGAAAAAACTAATTTAAAAGCACTTACCTGAATTTGATGTTCCGCTTAAGTTTATCGGTTGGGAGGAGGAAAAAAAGTCTGACGCATGCTGTGATTGACCAGATGAATTTGCAAAAAAATCAAAAGGAGGTGCTGAATATCCAGTTACTGAATTTAATGTAGCAAACTGATCTTGAGTTGAAGGTTGATTAAATATCCCAAAAGTCTGATCTGTTAAGAAAAAAGTCTGATCTGTTAAGAAGTTATTTAAAGAAAAATCTGTAGGATTTTATAATAAGCTAAGTATGTAAAAAATTACCAATTTAAATGTTTAAAATTTAATTTCCTGTTTATATTAACAACACAATATATTTTATTTTAAATTAATTACATATTTTTATGCGAAAAAAAAAAAAAAAGTTTTGAAAAAACACTAAGGTAATTTAACACACATTTAAAACACGCTAAATTTAAAAAAGTTTAAACTGGATTATAGTATCACATGTTAAAACAAGTTTCAAAATTTTAATTGCTTATATCAAAAGTAAAATTTCAATTGCTTATATTGCCAATACAAAATGAAGTTTACAGGGCAATTGGAATTTTTTGAATAGATAGACTTTGTTCACAACTAATGAGTTACCTTCTTTTGAAACTACTGATTTTTATATACAGTATCGGACAAAACAAGTGCAACCAAATAATGCTAATTTAGTTTCTTTATATAAAAGTGCTGCATTTTTTCAATTTAGAGAAATAACTATGTAACTGTTTAGAGACAACATTTATTCATCACAAAGTTCATTATTTGTACACGAAAATTAATAAATTAATCGAAAGTATTAAAAAAAGTTGATTTCTTTCTGGATAAAACAAGTGCAACTCCACAAAATGTTGACCAAGCTGTATTTCGCTATCAATATTTCGTGGCAAATCTTTTGTTGTCGGGCACAGCTTTGCATTTTCAAGGCATAGATTCCATCAGGTAATCAATGAAACTTTGTGGAATCGCTGCCCAGGCCTTTTGGATTTGTTCAATCAGTTGATCCTTATTACGAACACCTTCACGATTAATTCTGAAGTTGACGATCTCCCACAGGTTCTCGATAGGGTTGAGATCCAAAGATTGAGGTGGCCAATCCATCACCGATAGGTGGTTGTCTTGAAACCACTGCTTGACTACTTTTGCAGTGTGTTTCGGATTGTTGTCTTGCTGAAAAACCCATTTTATTGGGATATTCCATTCAGCATGAGGTAACATAACATCTTTCAGGATATTTTTATACATGAAACGGTCCATTATTCCATTGATTCGATGTATTGGACATAGACCGTTAGCAGAAAACACCCCCAGACCATTAAATTGCCTCCACCATGCTTTACGGTCTTATGGCAGTAACGTAAATCAAGGCGTTTTCCGGCTGGTTGACGTATACACTGCAAATGTCATCGCTCCCAATGATGTTAAACTTCAATGTAACAAACAGGAGTCTTTTCTTCTGGTTCTTTAGTGAAATCAGCGGTTTCTTTGCAGGGCGTCGAGAAAACAATCCGGCTTCAACAGCACATCATCTGATTGTTCGATTCGATACAGGCAGCTCTAATTGCTTTTGTATCTCAACTGATAATATCCAGGGATTCTTTTTGACGGATCTGACGATCATAGAATCCTCTCTAGAAGTGGTGGAACGCGGTCTTCCACTTTTGTTATCTGCTGCCAACTTCCCCATAGAACGATATTTGGAACATAGTCTTGATACGGTTTATTTTTTCACGCGATATTTATCACAAATACTTTTTTGTGACATTCCACTTACGTAATTGCCAATAATTTTCTTTCTTAGTTCCAATCCAAGACTGTCAGGAGCCATTTTTGCACTTGAAGTCATAAAAATAATAAGAATAAATAATCACGCTTCTCAAGGCTTACCGTGTTACATTTACCTTGTGATGATACAATAATGCTCTGTGGAACACAACGTCTTGGTTGGATGTGGACTGTATTGATGTAATGAAACACTTGTCGTATTTCACTTCTTGTATTAATGTTCTTTGATAAAACATTTTGATAAAACTCCGATAAACTGTCTTGATAATACTGACTGATTGACTTCCATATACTGACTGAATTACAAGTCGGTTTACATGTCTCTTATATAGTAAAGTGAACCTGTGTGAACCTGTTCTGGAAGATTCTAGATGCTTCTTTTTGATGCGTCTGGAAGCTTCTGAATGTTTCTGGGACTTTTGGAAGCTTCCAGATGCTTCTTCTGGAAACTTCTGGAAGCTTCTGCATGCTTCTGGAAACTTCTGGATACTTTCTTTAACTATTAAAAAACTTCCGTGACTTTAACACGGACCAGACTTAAGAAAATGAAACAAACCAAAAAAATTGCACTTGTTTTGTCCGCTGCAAAATGGCACTTGTCAACAACATTCTGCCTGTGTGCTATCACCTGTCAGCTGATTGCTAATGTCATGGCATGCTATGACTCCTGAACTGTTTGCTGTGGTAGTATAGTTCATTTCATTTTTAAGGCATGAAAAATTAGGAACACTTTTTAGCATTGTTCGATGTTGGTTGCAAATGTTTTGTCCAATAATGTATGTAAAGCACAACTATGTGGTAACTGTTAAAAAGATGTAAATGTTTCTGCTTACTTATAGCCTGTGCAATACTTTACGCCATGAAAAACATCTCTTGCTTATTTTCAAAATTTAGCCAACAAAACCTGAGCTCTTACAATTTAAAAACTTATGTAATGTGAACTTATTATAAAAGCCTAGAAGATATTTGAACATATTTTGAGACCCTTAAATATACAAATTACATGAGTTCAACTGTATTATAATACAAGATAAAGTTGTTTTAGTTCTAATTATAGATTTAAATAGAGAAAAAAAATCAGTTAAAATATATATTTTTAAAATCAAGATTTTAAAAATGTATATTTTTAAAATCTTAATTTTAAAAATATACATAAAAAAGAATAGCTGCACAGTGGCCTAAAAGTGAGCAAAAAGATTAAAACAAAAGGTTTTATTTATTGAGAGAAAAGGTTATATTTATTGAGTTTTTTAATCATTTAAAATCAATATGCCAGCAACGTATCCAGGCTGATTTTGATAGCGATATACTGGTAAGGGCCCTTGAATATGTCTAACTTCAGTTGAAAACAATTATATATTAGCACCATGTTTGTCATAAAAAAAAAGTTAAAATAAAACAATTCTTAATACTTATTTTCTTGCTGTCTGGTAATAATAAAATTTTTATATCATAATTACAAAATTGTTAATGTTGTTTAGAAAAAGCAACATTTGCAAATAACTTTTAAAGCAGATTATGAATGTATTTTAAGTCAATCAGAATGCTTAATTCGAATTGATGTGAAATATGGAGTATGTTACAATTGGTTTAAAAATGTAAAGTGCACGTTTTGATTGGATTGAAATATGAAATGCTTAGCATTTTATTTTTTAAAAATTCCTTTCATAAAAACATTAACTTGATTTAAAATACACATAATATGAGTTTCTCATCTGCTTATGTTTTTATAACTATAATTTACAATGCGATTAAACTCTATAAGCTTTAAACTTTCCCATATAAGTATATAAGTAGTAAGAATGCGTATATAAAGTATTCATGATCGACCGAAACAGAAATAAACTGAAAATTTTGGGTACTCTAGTTTGGTGTCGAAACCAAAACCGATATTTTGGCAAATATTTTACCAAAACTGATTCTGGCATTTTGGCTTGTCAAAATTAATTTCATTAGAAAATTTTATTTAAAAATGCATTTGTTAAAAAAATTTGTTGTTTTACATGCGTATTATGTTAGAATTGATTACACGTGTTTCATAAATTAAGATAAAAGTTCGCTAACTTTATAATATTAGTAATTTTTTTCTATAAATGTTTTCATCTTTAAATAAAAAAATATAAAAGATCTATTTTTCCTTGTTAAATAAATATTTACATTTAGAGGAATAAAAATAGATACTTCAAAGGTATTTTTAATAATTTAAAAGCACTTTTCTGTTTTTTGTGTATTTTATGGAAAACCTTTCTTAGTCCAACTAAGATTTGATAACTTATCTCTGTGCTTGATGATTGAAATTTGGAACAATTAGCCATGAATGTCCATTCTATTTGATTCCTTTGTCATCCAGGTGATGTTTTTACAAAAAGACAAAAATAAGTTAGGTTTAATTGTGCATTTAAGTATTTCTAGTGATATTGACCTGCAGAGCTAATCAAGAATGCCAACAGCTGAATTTAAAAAGGCTAATATAAGAACAAAAATGTGGGGAATGCATTTCAGTAAAGAATATTTTAATATGAACTTCATGTTGCTTTATACATCTGCAAATAAAGTATCTTGTTTAGTATCTGTATTGATGGTTCAGAATGTTGACAACTTAAAGAGGTTTTTAACAGTCTTTAAATTCATTCTTAACTCTGATATTGGTTTTGGCAAAGAGGTATGGCTCCTTTTTTCTTTTGTTAGGGGTGAAAAATATATGAAATTTTGAAGTTGTCAGTTCTAAATCACCACACGGATGTTCATTTATTTTGTATGTATCAGGGTTCAATGAGTACTTACGTAAAGACAGACAGTAGAAACTTAAGAGCAATAGGTAAGTTTCATAATTTAGTTATTTTTATTTCCTCCTGTTTTGTATTTGTGTTAGGAATAGTTTTATAACTTATTGTTAAAGGACTGTAAGACTTACAATATTACAAAACAATTAAACTAACATACCACAGTATGTTTGCGTAATGTTTTTTTTTTAAAGTATTTATTGTTCTTTATTATATGTAATTACTAATTTTATATATTAGGTGTCCATTCTATTCTTATCTTCAGAAGTTCATTTTAATCTAAATCTGCAGTTATGAAAGCATTACAGTTTTTTTTCAGATAAAAAGTAAACTTAAATCTTGGCTCTGGTTAAAGAATGGAATATAAATCCAGTACCAACTGAACAAATGTAGTTTACTGCTTAAAGAAGTTAGGAGTGGACCAAATGATTATAAGACTAATTAAGAATAACAATGAATTATCAAATTATTTAAATTAACTTTATGTTAATTAACTATATTTAAAAAGACAAAGTTTTTTTTTTCATAAAAAACTATTTGTGATTCAAGTGCTATAAAGTATTCTAATAACAAAAGTGAGAACAATCAATACTGTATTTTGGTCATGTAGTAGGTTTATG